TGACTGACAGTATGAGAGAGCGAGAGAAGACGAGAAATAGCCAGGGGCAGCGAGAGACAACGAGAAGCAGCGAGAGACGGCGAGAGGGACACGAGAGAAGCAGGCACGCACACATTGAGAAACCGTAAATGACACGTACATGAGACAGAGACAAAGATGCAGAATGAGAAACGGTGAGTGAGTATAGTTTTACGCCGCATTCACCAGTACTTCAGCAGTTTCATGGAGGACCACACCAGAGAGAAGGACAGAAATACAGACGCACACAGATCGTGGGGCGTGTCGTAATCTGAGAGGCGAACGGGGTAATACTTCTTCTCAAATATGTAACTAAAACAGCTATGTGTGCCTAGGTTCTGTTCAGATATACAGTACATGTAGTGCGCGAGTGACGTCTACGCCGCTTTCATCGGTATTCTAGTTATATCACGGCGTGTCTGCTTAACGTGGAAGGACCGCCTCCGTGGTCTAGTGGTAGAGCGTCCGCTCGGAGAGCGTAGGGTCTGGGGCTCAATCCCTGTCCGCGTCATACCAAAAGACGTTAAGATGGCACTATTTATTACCCTGTCTGGCGCTCGGCCTGAGTGGGGTATTCATGTTAAACTGCGGCATGTAATCTCAGTGGGCGAGCACTATAAAATCGGTATCAGTCCGGACCAGTACAAGCAGCCACACACACACACACACACGTGCATGCACGTCGCTGTATAAGAGCAATAATCTTGGACGCGACTTCAAACCCAATTTCACCTCACCGCCTAATGTGGGAGGAAGCCCGAGGTGATGCAAGTCTCAGACGTTCATCACTTTGATGAAGCCCACAAGCACGGGTATGGTGCTGACGAATCTAAAAGCTTTATCCAGGCGAACCGGGATCCAAACCAACAATCATCGCCTTCAGCACGGTTGAGGGACACATCTCTTCACAGCAAACTGCTGCGTCTTAAACGACTGGACCACTTGTGTTCTCTATAAACTCTAAAATATGCTCTTCCACTTTTGTTGAAGATGTTTTATATTTCGAGGATACACACAAATGATTTTCACAATATGGGATCGTGTGGTCAGGCTCACTGACCTGGTTGATACATGCCAACGTAGCCCAGTTGCGAAGATCGAACCAGATTCGATTAATTAAGAGGCGGTTGGGTAGCCTAGTGGTTTAAGCGTTCGCTCGTCACGCCGAAGACCCGGGTTCGATTCCCGACATGGGTACAATGCGTGAAGCCCATTTCTTGTGTCCCCCGCCGTGATATTGCTGGAATATTGCTAAAAGTGGCGTGAAACCATTCTCAATCACTCACTCACTAACTCGATTATATGTAGACAGCCATCATTTCTCTGGGACATCGCGTGCAGCGGCGTAAAACGACAATAAAAACAGACAGAGTTGGGAAGAGGTCACGTGTTCGTGTGAAAAGTCAGACATGGCGGCTGTTTAAAGTACATACCACGAACGCTCACAGTGAAATTAGTTCCCTCGTGGACATAAAAGGGGCTAAAAAGTCACATGACTCCAAAACGCATCCACCGATGATTAAAAGCTCACAGGAGAGAGTTTTGAGCCTGAAGCCTTTTGAACGCTTTGTTAATGAGATAGTGTCTTTAAGACTCCGTGCAAATTGAATTTGGGCCAAATCTTTGTAGTTTCTATTTGAAGTTATTTCATTTTTACTGCTTAATGAACGTCAATGTTCGTAACTTGGCAATACAATGCCTGGGGGTGCTTGTTTACCGCTCTCGTCGTCTGCGGACGAGTGAGTGAGTGAGATGGGTTTAACCTTCTTTCAACAGTTATTTAGTTTCATGACGACATGGCAGCTTGGTGTGGGGGATAGCCCCATGTGATTGAGGTCAAAGAGAAACCTAGAAACATAATCGGGGCGAACCAGGATTCGAACCCACGAGCATAGGTTTCTGGCGTGCCCAAGGGACGCAACTCTTCCCTGCGAATTACGGCATCATAGCCGACTGGGCCCTTGGTGTCCCCATCTGCAGGCGAATGTTGTAGAATGTAACGGTAACGAAACTCTTTTTGTGTGACGTCACTTCATCATTCATGAAACTGTATTAGTATTTAAAAAATAAAGTGTTCCGCGTTAAACGTAAGGAAAGTAACCCTCTCGGCGGGTCTCAAATTTAAAAAGAGATCCGAGGGGTGCGCGACCTTTAATCATGTCCGGTAACGGGTCTTTCCAAAAGTAATTAAATTCTGACAGGAACCAGGTTATGTTACGTCGGACATACAAAACGTTTCCTAACAGATTTACAGTTTCCTTAAAGCAATAAACTGTTCCATTTGGATTCGATTTATGAGCTTGAAAATACTTCCGCAAACATTCACCCACCTTTGAATCGTAACTTACTAAAAGTCACACAGCGGCGAACTATTTAAAACGGTTCAAGATTTGGAATAAAATCGATGCCCTGGAACACCTACGGCTAAATTAGCTTTTAAAAAGTCGAAATTTAATTTAGTCGGATAATGGAAATATTATGTTTTTTCAAGTCGCTGTCATCACCTCTCCGTCGGTAAGGTACGTGGCGCTATTGTTTTTCGCGAGGAATGAAAGAAACTTGACAAATTCCCATACTACTTGAAAAAGTTTGATAGACGTGTTGTGTGTCTTCATCTAAAGCTACGTTTTGGTTGCCATGGGGAAAGTAGTGTTTAATGAGATATTTTTATAGCCAAAGCCGCGTGTATACGACAGCTGGTTCCTAATGAACAAAATGTTCAACACTCTAATTGTCCAAGCGATTCTCGTGGGATTGAAAGAAATCTTCCATGCGCGCGATCCATTTGTAGTAATCTGAAGAAGTTCGCAGTTGATTTTAAATCTTTCTGACCAATCAAAATATGATAGTTTTAAAGCGCACAAAGTGTTGGTTTAAGCCGGTGGTGTCTTACATTACGGAAACAGAGTTGACTGCTGCTGTGGACGTCATCATCATCATCATCATCATTATCATCATCAAATCCTCGTTATTATCATCGTCACATCATCATTTGTGGGTATGGGGGTGTCAGCCACACACACACACTCAACACAGTGGACTCAACACTCTCAAAAGTCATCCTCGATAATGGAGGGTATTATATCTCGGTTCTATCGTGATAAATACCCTAGACCCATCACCGTCGTTTCGGATATACTTCGCCATTTCTATCTCTTCCATCTTAACTTCACAGTACTATAGCAAACTATGTTTTTAACGAACACGCTTATAGCGAACTTACGGATATTACGAACTGTTATTGTATGCCGGCCATGTGCTGTGTATGTGCTCTTTATGATATGCTTATAACGAACTACGGTTATAACGAACTAAAATTAGAGTTCGTTATGACCGTGGTGTACTCTTGATTACGAAAGTATTTTGTTTGGAGGGCTATTTCTAGCGTCGTAACACTCGAATCGGGCTGAAATGGAGGCTACCAAATCACTTACATACCTCATCAACCGATGTATTTAGTCGCCTCTTTCGACTGCCTCCGAGAAGATCCGGATTTTCAGCAACCCATGCTTGTCCTAAGAGGCGACTAATGGTTCGGGTTGTCAGGCTCGCTGAACTGATGCATGTTATCGTATCCCAATTGCGCAGATCGATGCTTATGCTGTCAATCACTGGATTGTCTGGCCCAGACACGATGACTTACAGTCAGCCGTTTGTTTGTTTGTTGTTTAACGCCGCACTCAACAATATTCCAGCTATATATAGGCGGTCGGTAAATTATCATATCTGGACAAACAATCCGAACCTCTTATGACAAGCCCGGTCACCTGTTACAGCAAGCATGGGTCGCAGAAGACCTACTCTACCCCGGATCTTCACGGCTCCAACTCCCTAGGTAACATACATACGGTTACCCGTCCATAGCCTTCAGACACGTTACAGACTCGCACTTCCGGGTACCCGTTTTACAACTGATTCAGGCTGAAATCTAAGGTATAGCGGCTCCTGGTGGGCGAACAGCGCCGAGTTTCACTGCCCGAAGCAGAGTGCGACCCGATAGTGAACAGCAAGTATAAACGTAGCTTGAGTTCTATACGTGTATAGATACAAAGCAGGGCATTGTGCTTCCAATGTCTTAATTGAGGAACATGCTTCTACTGGCAATATCATTTGTCAGTTGTACAAAGGATCACTCCGTTTTATAACACATCTCTATTTGGGCTTAAAGGAAAACATCGAGCGACACCCAAAGGCTGGAAGACCTAACGTGACAGCGCATAATTACGTTATAAGGGCATTCCCAATTTCATTAAAATCAGATCTTAGTTCTCGCTGTTACTAAGCAAAGATCTGGGGACATCCCATTACGGGTCACGTCAGACCGACCTTGTGCGAATTTTGACCGACCAATGGAAGGACTGACAAGAAATAGACATTAGCCAATCAGAAGGCAGCTTTCTCGTGCTTTACGGCACTAAATTCAAATTGGCGACTACGCTTCGAAACATATTTTGACAAATTCTCGATTAAAAATTTGAATCCTGAACAAAAGAACATTCTGGAATGGCAAATATATGGTTTAGATTGTATGGATTCAGTCATTAACCCGTAACCATCGTTCGGAATACCCCGTGTTAGAGTTTTCGCGTCATTATTAGAAATCACATTCCGACTGTCACTTTCATGATCTGGTAAACGACGCCTTGATTGGTCGGATGAAAGGTCGTTTTGACGTGACCCCTAATGGGATGTGCTCAGATCTTAGTTTAGCGGTAGTGAGAACTAAGATCTGATTTTAATGAGATTGGGGCATTCCGTTCTGCCCATGGCATCAGTGTTATAGCTACGCTTATTTAGAAAATCAACGTGAGCTGAAATTAGTGAGAAAATGTAAGCCTCTTTTGGGGAATAAGCAGCGCTTTGAATTAGTACTCGATGATTACCTTTAACTGATTCAACTGGAGGCCCTTACAGTGCATGCAGCAAATCGATTTGAAAAAGAATACTAAAAAATAATAAAATAAGTATGTTAACGATCCTACCTTCTGAATGAGAAGTGCCTTGGTGCCTCCCTTCAGGAACTTCCTAGCTTGGGAGGGCTCTTCCGGAGTGGTGGCGGCACTGGTCATTTTGTCCGAGGGAGTGGTCACGCAGCTTGAGGGAGTCTTGATCATCTTCTCCTCGCGCGACTTTTCCCCCGTAGAGTTAGAAGCGAGGGGAAGAGAAACACTTTTTCTCCTCTTCAGGGTCGACTGTTCAGTCTCTGAGGTTTCTCCCCTTTGATCTTCAGGGGTTGTCTCCCCTTTTGAATCCGGAAATGACGACACAGGAGTAGTAGGGTCTGATTTCATCCCATCAGATTTCAATTTTCCATTCGCCAAAACCACACTTTTTACTGTTTTCTGAGAGTCCGACGAATCTCGGAGCATGTAGCTGACATTTTCGTCTCTGGAGTCGTCGCCGTTGTCCCTTGCGCCGAGGATGTCCTTGATGGCGTACCGACTCCTGGAACTTTCCGATCCCGGAGGCGTGAAAAACGTATCAGTTGAAATACTCCGGAAGCTGTCAAGTGTTCCACTGCGCAGGTGGCCGGAAGGAGGGATAAAGGACCCCTCGGGTGGCGTAACGTAACTATCTGATAAAGTTAGACTTCCGGAAGGGGACATAACTCCGTCAGAAGGAGAAGCCTTGCGCTCTTGGTCCTCGTGGGCACTTAGTTTGCGCACACCCGGGTTATCCATTGTGAAGTGATGTGTGGTCGTGCAAACAGTAACTGCAAGGTAAAAAAGTCCGGTTATGTCGAATTCGAAAGCGAGGAAGTTAATCCTTGGGATCGTGCATATATTCAGGGTTGGGTGGGGGAGGCCTGGGCTTTTATCGATAAAGAAATGTGTTCCACAAAATAATTGAAACATATTTTACCTACGTGTTTTACAATAATTTGGTCATTTACGCCCCAAAGAATCCGTTTCGACAGAAAACCGAGTCAGATTAATCTCTGGGCCTGGCGTTTTTTACACTGACGCAAAAAGTGAATTGTATGGCTCTATATTATAGCGCGTTCTAAACAATCGCGATAATGGTAAATCTCGTAATCCACACCTCGACTAAGCACGGTATTTCCCCGCTTGACTAAACACAGAATTCGTTGGTGTGTCACGGCTTCTTGTGAGTAGACACGTTTTAGTTTCTGGAATGTCTTGATGTGGAATTACCCCTACCTCCATTCAAAATTGATTAGAAAAGAGCCCATTTGTTTAGACGAAGTCCCTTGACCAAGCTATGCATAATCCCAAACCGGAAATGATGTAAAGCACATATTCCACACGGATCATACTACAAAATAGACATACCGCGATAGTAGAGAGTTACCCGCCCTTGAGTCACTAATGATTGTAACTTTCTTTACCGAACTCGGCACAGAAAATCAGCATTGATCAATCCTAATTGATGTGTCATAAATGTTGAACAAAGAACAAGAAACATTTTGCATATAGCATATTTAAATACCGCGGTAATATAACGTAGCCTGACCTTCAGAAATTGTTTGTTTCAGTTGTTTTTATGTTATGTTTCATTTTACTTTTATATTAGAGAAAATAGCCACTATTTACATGTAGACCCTACATCCCCAACGGTAGTGATGCATTTCTCTCCCCAGGAACGTGAGGGGAAGTGAAGTAAAATTGAGTTTTTCGTCGCGTCCAAGATTATTGCACTTATATAACGACGTGATTCTCACGTTGTGACGGCTTCCAACGTCTTCCCGGGTCTTCGGCGTGACGAGCGAACGGTTTAACCACTGGGCTACATCACTGCCCCGTTATAAAGTGTAACGACAATATGGTTATAAAGTGTGAATAATCATAAATAGAGGTGGGATACGGTTGCACAATGTGTGACAAAGTTAATTGATGGTCACAAAACCTCGACGGCGTTGCTAGGTGTTCATGCTATCAACCACTGGTTTGTATTTGGCCGATCACTTTCAACCCAACTTGATACAGCTGCAATGCGGAGGCAGATAAGCAATCCAATATGACCCTGTCTGTTGTGTGTTCGGGCGGTTTTACATCCTAGAATGGACATTGTCGCGTTGTCGCCCTTTGTTAATATAAATACAAACATTATTCACAGCGCGACAATGCGACAAATGTTCAAAATGTCGCGTTGTCACATTGTCGCGCTAGGTTTATTTTGACACTTTTTGCTTGTTTGTGTATGAACGACAATGCACCAACGCGACATTGCCCCTTCTAGGAAGCCAAACAATCGTCACTGTAAACCTTGTAAATTGCAGGCGCGAGTGCTGCCAGCCACGATAATGAAATAGTCAATAGTACATGCTATCTTATAGGTTTATCGTCTTGCGTGCAGGGTCCGCGACCTGACCGCAGCTCTAAGTGCAGCATTTACATCAAATAGAACACGCCACGATACCGATCGAAAAAGCCAAAATGGTACAATTGTTTTGTCTCGTATCGATGTTCAATAGGCGCCATGTTCTCCGACATCCCCAAAGGGACGATTGGCTGCGGGCAGTAATAACACTATTCGACTAACATAATTACAAGACATATATAATATATAGCAGTTATTATAAACTGCCGGGAAAAAGAAAGTATGCACTCGTGTTTTATGGTGGCCTTATAACGTTTATATTCTTTGGTCAAATCCAATTTCAGACATTGTACTTTCTTTAACTACCCGTAAAAATGCGGGGTAGAATAGGTCTGCAGCAACCCATGCCAGTTGTCAAAAGCGACTATGCTTGTCGTTAGAAACGACGAACGGGATCGGGTGGTCAGCCTCGCTAATTTGGTTGTACCCCAATTGCGCGGATCGATGCTCATGATGTCAATCACGGGATTGTCTGGTCCAGACTCGATTATTTACAGACCGCCGTCATATAGCTGGAATATTTCTGAGTGCGGCGTTAAACAACAAACAAACAAACAGGCTTTCTTTCACCCGGCAGTTTGCAGATTCAGAACTTGAGCAGGAGAATGTACAACTATTTTGATGAACCATTTGATGATACCCGAGGGTGTGTCTGCTGTCTGTTTTTGCTCTTTTTTGAGGGGAGAAGGTGGGCCTATAAACCAGGTCGTGTTCTCCAGGAAATACTCAGCTTCCAAAAAACTGATGTTGTCTCATCATTAACGAAAACAACAACAGTATCCTTAAAGCGTCCAACAACAACAGTAACCTTAAAGCGTCCAACAACAACAGTATCTTTAAAGCGTCCAACAACAACAGTCACCTTAAAGCGTCCAACAACAACAGTATCTTTAAAGCGTCCAACAACAACAGTAACCTTAAAGCGTCCAACAACAACAGTATCCTTAAAGCGTCCAACAACAACAGTATCCTTAAAGCGTCCAACAACAACAGTATCCTTAAAGCGTCCAACAACAACAGTAACGTTAAAGCGTCCAACAACAACAGTATCCTTAGAGCGTCCAACAACAACAGTATCCTTAAAGTGTCCAACAACAACAGTATCCTTAAAGCGTCCAACAACAACAGTATCCTTAAAGCGTCCAACAACAACAGTATCCTTAAAGCGTCCAACAACAACAGTAACGTTAAAGCGTCCAACAACAACAGTATCCTTAAAGCGTCCAACAACAACAGTATCCTTAAAGCGTCCAACAACAACAGTAACGTTAAAGCGTCCAACAACAACAGTGTCCTTAAAGCGTCCAACAACAACAGTATCTTTAAAGCGTCCAACAACAACAGTATCTTTAAAGCGTCCAACAACAACAGTAACGTTAAAGCGTCCAACAACAACAGTAACCCTAAAGCGTCCAACAACAACAGTAACCCTAAAGCGTCCAACAACAACAGTCACCTTAAAGCGTCCAACAACAACAGTATCCTCAAAGCGTCTAACAACAACAGTATCCTAAAAGCGTCCAACAACAACAGTATCCTTAAAGTGTCCAACAACATAACAGAATCCTTAAAGTATCCAACAACAACAGTATCCTTAAAGCGTCCAACAACAACAGTAACGTTAAAGCGTCCAACAACAACAGTAACCTTAAAGTGTCCAACAACAACAGTATCCTTAAAGCGTCCAACAACACCAGTATCCTTAAAGCGTCCAACAACAACAGTATCCTTAAAATATACAACAACAACAGTATCCTTAAAGCGTCCAACAACAACAGTATCCTTAAAGTGTCCAACAACAACAGTAACGTTAAAGCGTCCAACAACAACAGTCACCTTAAAGCGTCCAACAACAACAGTATCCTTAAAGCGTCCAACAACAACAGTAACGTTAAAGCGTCCAACAACAACAGTCACCTTAAAGTGTCCAAAAACAACAGTAACGTTAAAGCGTCCAACAACAACAGTAACGTTAAAGCGTCCACCACAGCAGTATCCTTAAAGCGTCCAACAACAACAGTCACCTTAAAGCGTCAAACAACAACAGTATCCTTAAAGCGTCCAACAACAACAGTAACGTTAAAGAGTCCATCACAGCAGTATCCTTAAAGCGTCCAACAACATAACAGAATCCTTAAAGTATCCAACAACAACAGTATCCTTAAAGCGTCCAACAACAACAGTAACGTTAAAGCGTCCAACAACAACAGTAACCTTAAAGCGTCCAACAACAACAGTAACGTTAAAGCGTCCAACAACAACAGTCACCTTAAAGTGTCCAACAACAACAGTAACGTTAAAGCGTCCAACAACAACATTAACGTTAAAGCGTCCACCACAGCAGTATCCTTAAAGCGTCCAACAACAACAGTCACCTTAAAGCGTCAAACAACAACAGTATCCTTAAAGTGTCCAACAACAACAGTATCCTTAAAGTGACCAACAACAACAGTAACGTTAAAGCGTCCATCACAGCAGTATCCTTAAAGCGTCCAACAACAACAGTATCCTTAAAGCGTCCAACAACAACAGTATCCTTAAAGTATCCAACAACAACAGTATCCTTAAAGCGTCCAACAACAACAGTATCCTTAAAGCGTCCAACAACAACAGTATCCTTAAAGCGTCCAACAACAACAGTAACGTTAAAGCGTCCATCACAGCAGTATCCTTAAAGTATCCAACAACAACAGTATCCTTAAAGCGTCCAACAACAACAGTATCCTTAAAGTGTCCAACAACAACAGTCACCTTAAAGCGTCAAACAACAACAGTATCCTTAAAGTGTCCAACAACAACAGTAACGTTAAAGCGTCCATCACAGCAGTATCCTTAAAGCGTCCAACAACAACAGTATCCTTAAAGTGTCCAACAACAACAGTATCCTTAAAGTGACCAACAACAACAGTAACGTTAAAGCGTCCACCACAGCAGTATCCTTAAAGCGTCCAACAACAACAGTATCCTTAAAGTGTCCAACAACAACAGTATCCTTAAAGTATCCAACAACAACAGTATCCTTAAAGCGTCCAACAACAAGAGTATCCTTAAAGTGTCCAACAACAACAGTATCCTTAAAGTGTCCAACAACAACAGTATCCTTAGAGCGTCCAACAACAACAGTATCCTTAAAGCGTCCAACAACAGTATCCTTTAAGCGTCCAACAACAACAGTATCCTTAAATTGTCCAACAACAGTATCTTTAAAGCGTCCAACAACAACAGTATCCTTAAAGTGACCAACAACAACAGTAACCTTGAAGCGTCCAACAACAACAGTCACCTTAAAGCGTCCAACAACAACAGTATCCTTAAATTGTCAAACAACAGTATCCTTAAAGCGTCCAACAACAACAGTATCCTTAGAACGTC